AGTTCTGGGTGCACACGGCCAAAGCCACAAAGAGTGCAAGTGACTTATGGCCTGGTGAGAATCTGTCAGGGTTCACGAATAGGGTGGCTGTCGAGGCTCCCGCGAGCAGACCCCTCCCCGAGCTGGGCTGGAGCGTGGAGGACGCAGCCAGGAGGGGGAAAACAGCAGCCGTGTGGAGCAAGCTCAACTTTAGCTTGAGCCACTGAGCAGATTTTTTTTTTTGAATTTTGTTTGAACATGTGGTCTAAATAAAATACTAATCAGAGAGCAGCTCTGCTAGCCAGAGTAACAACCTGTTTCCATTCATTACAACTGGGGGCTGGAAAAGCTACCAGAGGAATTAGTGGCAGCTTTCCAAGCTGAACACAGGGCCTATCAGGCTTTGTCAGATCCAGTTTGCGTCACTTTAAAGTCTGTCATAGGCAGCCACTAACTCAGCCCCTGGCCCCCCTCCTCCCCGCAGACGGAGCCCAGCTTGTCCTTGCAACCGTCTCAGCACAAACTGATGAATGGAGCTTGAAGCACCTAAAGTGGCTACAAGTCCCAGTTCTGGGTCCATGCAGCCTCCCCCGTGCAAGTCTGATTTCCCTGAGTTACAGGCCACAGAGCCACGGTAAAGTCTGCAACCCACGCCCACCCCCGGCCAAGGGGACTCAGGCTTCCCCTTGACTGATGGAAGTGGGGCAGGAAGTGCAGCGTGTGCCTCACAGGCACATAGCGTCGATGCAAAGGGGGGGTGGGGGTTTCCCAGTCAGACTTTTTTTTGCAGGTTTTGCTGTAGCCGTCCTGGGCCCGTGACCACCTCCAGGGACTGCAACAGATCACGGAGTCAAGGCAGCCCCTGTTAAAGCGGAGGCGTGGAATTTGGGAAGAAGGGGCACGTTTACAGCCTGGTTCACTGGAGTGTTCCCCAGGCGGTTTTGGAAGGCGGGTGCCCCACAGCAGTGAGTGGTCAGGGTGCAGCAGCAGGACGTTGCATTGCTTTGCTGCCACTGGGTGCATCAGTCAAAGCCTCAAGGTTGTTTGAAGGGACTGAATTCAGACCGTTTGTGGGCACGGCTGACTAGCGGGAGGGCTGAGATCTGGGCAGGGAGACTGGAATTCACCCAAGAAGCGCTGGCAGAGACCTAAACCTGCAGCCTCCAGCACGCTAGTCAAACCAGCGCCATCTTTTGGTACCAATAGAGAACTGCTTATTGCCTTTCCCCATGCAATGAAACAAGGGCTGCTTCAGATACAAAGAGCTGGAGTTGTGTTTCCTTCACGCCAGTAGGTGAGGGGGCGCTGGGCACAGCACCCCTGGCTCAGTGCCCTCTAACGTGGGCATTGCCCAGTGTCTGCCTGGGGACCCGCCAGTCACATCGGCTCCCAGTGCCGAAGAGGAGAGTTTACAGAACTCCCCCGATCATGGGAGGGGGGTTTGCAAGCATGTTGTGCTCGTGCAGGTCTTTCACACAGCAACAAGGGAGAGGAAAGCTCTCAACGGGGAAGGGAGGTTTAAGAGCCCAGACCCGGAGCAGGGACTTGGGAGCAGGGGCAGAATCCGAAGTTACCTGAACTCCTTTTGAACACGGACGGCCCTTCGTGCTGACTGTGACCCCGCAGAGGTGAGATCAGAAAGATGGCTTTGTCCCTCGAACCCTAGACACAAGCCAGCAGCACTTCCTGACTGGAGCTGGCCAGTAGCCAACGGGAACGCCAGGACGGACGAGGCTTTGCAGTGAGGCACGTGGTGCCGGGCGTAGTTACACCATCCCTCAGCTTGCAGAACCACATGCAGCCGCCCCAGGATCACGGGCAGCAGGGCGCAGGGCTGGGCTCTCCTCTCACACGCACGCTCAGACACAGCATGGCAGCAGTGATACCAGCAGGAACCTACTACGGGAGTTTGAAGCCACTGCAGGTTTGACTGTGGCCAGCGCCGCTGTGCTCAACCACCACATCCCACTGCCCACGGTCCAGTTCTGGGGGTAGGGGGGATGGACTAGCCCCCAGGGCATGCTGGGCTTCCTGCTGGCAGTCACAAGCCATGCAGGAAGCTAGTGGATGAGGAAGAGTGCCCAGGCCGGGATTGGCAGTCTGTATTGGTGCCAGAGCACGGAGGACCCAAACCACGCGGCATTTTCTAGGCAACACGATCAGTCCACAAAATGGCTCAAGTTTGATACGCTCAGGAGCGGCCGTAGAGTCATGTGCCCTGAACTCCCAGAAACCGACCTGCCAGTCAGCAAGAAACCACCTCACACTGCAGCCGGACTGGCTGGGGCCTGACGGATCACCCTACCAGAGGATGCCCCCCCTCGGACGTGTTCTCTCCCAGCCGTCAAGCACTCGGCTGCCCTGGAGGAGGAATCGAGGCGTTGGATCTACATTGGTTATTGACCGAGACGTTTGACAAAGAACTCAGGACTGCCCGTGTTAGAGGAGGAACGCTGCCCACTGAAATCCAAGTTAAGGGCTTGTCCACACGTGCCATTGCTGGAATAGCAATTCGCTTTAAATTCATGTCCTGTCTTATTCCAAAATAGCTGCCGTGTGCGGATGAGCCCTGAGGAAAACGAATGCATTAGGCTTTCCCCAGGTTCCCAAACTGCCAGAATATTTCATTTACAAACACTGCAAACAGAAGACACTTGCAAGCCACCTACCCATCAGTGGCCACAAGGGCAGCATCTCCAATATTATAACTACAGCATTGCCGGTAGCTAGTCAAAGCCATCGCCCCCTTCGGGCTTTACGGACAACGAAACCAAGTGTCACTGTGCAACATGGAAGCAGAGACAAAGGTGTGGAACCCGAGCGAGAACTGGGGAGCTCTGGTGGTGGTGGAGGAATCAGTCGAGCTTGAAGGGAACTAGCCATACAATTAACTCCCTCAGAGGGGCCACAAACCATGACCAGACTGAACGGAGGGATCCAGATGAACTGGAGCATGAGGGGCCTGACGCTCAGTCACACAGGAACGCTCCTGTAAACGTACACGGGATGACCAAGAACCAAGGTTGGAGTACACAGATATCCCAAGCAGGAGCAACTCAACATCCTCTCACCACTCGTTTAGGCACAAGACTGCCTGAAGACGCGGCTTAATGCTACTAGTGAGAACAGGTCTGGACAGGCCAGTCTCACCTCTGGGGCAGCTGGAGAGTGTGGGTGAAGATCTTGAAACGCCTGCTGTCAAAGCATCCGGAGCCGGTGGTGTGAGGAGAAAGTAGAGTCACCCACAAACTGCACTAGTGATCCCCGCCCTTTACTAAGTGGTGAGGGATAAAGCTCCTTAAAGAAGTCTCTTCTGTTTGCAACGGTGGTATAAGTTTTCCGCCCATGAGCAACATAAGCCCAAAGAAAGATTCAGTCTCCAGCTGCTTGGTCCATGGGCGAAGGGTGTGCAGACCAGACCTGTGCATGCACAAGCTGTTAGCTGCTTGAAGGCCGGTACCTCTAATGGCTCCAAAGACTTGTCCAGAGCAGCACACAAGCGTGTACTCCATCCGAACCTACAGCCTGGGGCTGGGTTACCTGCAGGAAGCCTATTCTGTGCAGCTAACGTCTAACTTATTCTGCAAATACAACTAAGCCCTTTCCATTTGGAACTGTGGAGTTACAGATTATGCAGGGATCCAAGTATTACCGCTGGATAGAAATCTTGGCAAGAGAGAAGTTGTTTTAAGAGTAAGTGGATCATGTGGTTGAGGGCAAGGGAAGAAAACGCTTTAGGGGATGCCCAGTAAGACGAGAGGCAACACTTATGTGTACCTGACCATTGCTGTCGCTGGAAGAGGCACTCGGACTGCTGACAGGGTGGTAGGTCACCCAATGACCAACCGGGTTTTGGAAACTGGGCCTAGAAAGGTGAGTTTGCAAGACCGCCATTACAATGCAATACTCGTCAGGCAGGAACATGCCACAGCAGTTCAGGGCCTGCGCGGAGAGACAGCCACTACCTCACTTCAGGGACAAGCAGCTTTATAGCTTTCCGTGGCGCTCACCAGTCGTACCCAAGCCGCCCCCTCACCACACACACACACACACCCTAGCCCCACTGAACGAGTGGGGAATGAGAGAGCAGTGAGGAGAGCAGCGCAAGAAGCCAGGTCAGGGTCCTCCCTCAAGGCCATCTTTCCTGTTGGCCTGAGGCGCTGCCGGAGCCCCTTGGCCTGGTGACTTGAGGAGACTAGAAAGGCTGAAGACACAGCTTGGAATATCGTCCATGCACCAGAGCCACGACTACTGCCCAAAGCAGGAGTTACCCGGTAACGCAGGAAGGGATGGTCATCGGCAGGCTAAGGCCAGAGTCAGGAGCACTGTCTGCCAGCACTGTCACAGAGTGCCCCAGACCAGCGTCTGGGTGCTGGAGGCGATGGGCGGTACCTAGAAGAGACAGGCCAGAGCTCTGCCACAGCGTTAGTCAAGTGACTGGGTCACTTTCCCAGCCTGACCCCCTCTCTGCAGGCTGGCAGCCAGTCTCGCCAGGGGGACTGCACTGCCCTCTGCAGCAGCACGTTCGCAGCACACCCTGAGGGGAAATGGGGACTGCGACTCCCCGTTCCAGTGATCACAACGTGCCATCGGTTGGGTATGAAGGAGACGGAGCCGTTTGTATCCCAGTTACTCCCCAGTGCCCCTTTCTAAGAGGAGTGTGTGTGCACGGGCAGAGGGGTGGCTGCACGGAGGACATGGGGAAGAGCTGCAGGGCTAGGTCAGGGGAGGCCACGCCCTGGAAGCAGCAGCAGCAGAGCACGGCTACCTCAGCGGGTGGGGAACAACTTCACAAGCACAAACGTGGCTGGAGATTTATCCAGTTCTGTGGAAACCTGAGCTCTATGCACAGCCTGGGACTCAGGCCTTCATCCTGAATCGGCTCCGGGCTGCGTGTGATTTGCCAGCCATCCCATTACACACAGGCAGCACGTGTGATGTTTGTGAACAACAATCAGTTCCACATGGCAGGTAAAACAGCTGCCTCCAAGCCCGTCACCGAGTCCCCCTCTGCTCTTTACCTGCAGGGGTCCAGGTTTCTGGGCCCTTGGCTCCGGCTGGCGCTCTTCCTCTCCTTGGACTGCAGGTTCTTTGGTAGCTGGACACCCACAGTGCAGCTGACTCGCAACAGGAGAGCCACAAACAAGTGCGGGTAGAGCCCCAGCACCGCTGCCCCAGACTCCGGAGCAGACATGATCTCATGCAGAGCACATGTGGCCTGAGAAGAGAGAAAGAGGATTAGGAAGGGCCGGGGCGGAAGCGAGAAATCGTCTACTCCCCACTAAGACCTGTTAACAATACTCGGTAGGTTAGCGACTAAGGCAAGGAGCGCTACAAATCCCCTCCTCCAATTCACAGACTAACAAGACCCCAGCAACCAGCCTGTTGTTCAGCGGCCCAGGCCTGGCTTTGCCGTAGCCAGAGTTGGCAACAAAGCAGAAAAGCCACTATTCGAACAAAGCCGTTGGATTTGAAACTTGCATGTTTCTAAATCGGGAAACAGGGTCTGAGATGGGCACCTGGCGAGGAGAGATCTCCTAGCTGGAGTTTTCAGGCAGGAAGAGCGCGTGCACGTCACGCACACGGCTTGCATAGCCCTGCTCTGGCTGATTTAAAGAGCTGCAGTTACACGGCCCAGAATACACAGGGCTGTGGAAGAGGGGAGGGAAGGAGTGTTTGCTTTCAGCATGACGGATTCTGTACCATCTGCACTTGGTTCAGAGGAGGAGGAGGAGGAGGAGGAGATTTTCACAGCTGCTTTACTCCTTAGAAAGCTGCCAAGCCGGGATTAGGTTTTTGACGGGATAAAACGCGAAGTGGTCTCCCTAGAGGATGAACACCTGAGAGGGTTTTTATGAGCCTGTGGATTAGCTCTAATAGGCATTACACAGTGATGCGTTATTTCCAGAATCCAGGCCCGGCCCCAACACCTGAGCCGAGGAAATGAACAAAGGAGGCCGGGGGGGAGGGGGAGGGGGAAGAGAAGGGAGGGTGTCTGGAATGCCGTTGTCCCTGGGGGCTAGGAGCCCGGCTAGAGGGAAGCACGGCCCCTTTGGGCCGGGGGGAGGGATGGCAAGGTGGGGGAGCAGCAGGATACTTACAGCAAGAGGGAGGGGAGTGGCAATGCGCTCAGAGGTGCTCCCCAACAGGAAGGATTTGTTCTCTTTGTACGGCACGTCCCGATTCACCTTGTCCAGGAGCAGCTCCAAGATCTGCGACGTGAGGGTTGGCTCCGTGGCCAGCGCCTTCCACATGGCACAGGTGTGACTAGGTTTGCACAAACAGGAGGGTTATTTTTGCACACGAGCTGCCCTGTTAGTTTGCTACGGGCTCCTAGCTCTGAGCAGCAGCAAGCCTGCGAGGGCCCCGGCCCGATGCCAGACGTGGGTCTCCTCTCCTGGCCTGCAGTGCAGAAATAGAGCTAAGGCGCTAACTGCGACCCGGAGGCTTTCTGCCTGGCTCCGTAGCCAGGCTCGCAGCGACATCCAGATGCCGCCGGAGGAGTCCCCTAGCAGAGCTGGGCAGAGGGGAGCCTGTGAAGATCTCCATGGAGGGAGGGAATTGCTCGGTGTGACAATGGGGTTAGGACAGAGCCACGAGAAAAGAAAGGAGGGATGTCCAGGATCGACCTCAGGGGAAGTCTCTGGGCAGCCCAGTGGCTCCCGCTGCACAGCCCCTCCAAAGGGAAAGGCTGGTGGCCCCCGGCTGCAGTTGGGATGAAACGCTCCCTCTGCATGGCACCCTAAGGTCGGCAAGGTGCATTACGGGGTTTTCCCCCTTCCTCAGGCCACGATCAGCTGGCGGGGCCATTGCTTTCCCCATCACCGGAATCCCTATGGCTCTAGCACCCCGGCCCCAGCAGGGTCCCAACGGGAGCCACGTCCAGGGAGGGGCAGGGGGACAATCGAGGTGCGAGGGGAACCCCAGGGCCAGGGCTGGAGGCCTATACCAGAACAGGCTCGCTAATGCAGGCTGCGGCGCTAAAGCAATTCCAGGCCCTTTCTAAAGCCATCTCCCCGACAAGGGGACGTGCTGATCCCCGAGCCCAGGAAGGCCATTCCAGCAGGGTCCGATTACCAGGGCCAAGAGCCAGGAGATTGGCTGCAGCTTAAGTGAGAGCTGCTCCGAAGCCCCCCTCCTCCGAGAAGGAGAGCAAGGCAACGGCGCGAGCCGGGTACCTGTCAAAGGGCAGGGAGCTGCCCAGCAGGCTGGACACCACCGCCGTCCTGTGCTGGGAGGCCAGGATGTAAACCGTCTGCTGAGCGGCCTTCCTCAAGTGCTCCTCATCCACCTCCTGCAGCTTGCTGTGAATCAGAGCCATGAGCACCGGCACCTGGAGGACGAGAGGCAGAAGAGGAGGATAAAACTATTGCTCAGGCAGGCAGGAGTGAAATCCCACTTGGAGCTGCAGCTAGCAAGAGATGTTAAGAGTAACAAGAAGGGTTTCTTCAGGTATGTTAGCAACAAGAAGGTGGTCAAGGAAAGTGTGGGCCCCTTACTGAATGAGGGAGGCAACGTAGTGACAGGTGATGTGGAAAAAGCTAATGTCCTCAATGATTTTTTTGCCTCTGTCTTCACGCACAAGGTCAGCTCCCAGACTGCTGCACTGGGCAGCACAGCATGGGGAGGAGGTGACCAGCCCTCTGTGGAGAAAGAAGTGGCTCGGGACTATTTAGAAAAGCTGGACGTGCACAAGTCCATGGGGCCGGATGCGCTGCATCCGAGGGTGCTAAAGGAGTTGGCGGGTGAGATTGCAGAGCCATTGGCCATTATCTTTGAAAACTCCTGGCGATTGGGGGAGGTCCCAGATGACTGGAAAAAGGCTAATGTAGTGCCCATCTTTAAAAAAGGGAAGGAGGAGGATCCGGGGAACTACAGGCCAGTCAGCCTCACCTCAGTCCCTGGAAAAATCATGGAGCAGGCCCTCAAGGAATCAATTCTGAGGCCCTTAGAGGAGAGGAAAGTGATCAGGAACAGTCAGCATGGATTCACCAAGGGGAAGTCGTGCCTGACTAACCTAATTGCCTTCTGTGAGGAGATAACTGGGTCTGTGGATGAGGGGAAAGCAGTGGATGTGTTATTCCTTGACTTTAGCAAAGCTTTTGATACGGTCTCCCACAGTATTCTTGCCGCCAAGTTAAAGAAGTATGGGCTGGATGAATGGACTGTAAGGTGGATAGAAAGCTGGCTAGATCATTGGGCTCAACGGGTAGTGATCAATGGCTCCATGTCTAGTTGGCAGCTGGTTTCAAGAGGAGTGCCCCAGGGGTCGGTCCTGGGGCCGATTTTGTTCAATATCTTTATTAATGATCTGGAGGATGGCATGGACTGCACTCAGCAAGTTTACAGATGACACTAAACTGGGAGAAGTGGTAGATACGCTGGAGGGTAGGGATAGGATACAGAGAGACCTAGACAAATTAGAGGATTGGGCCAAAAGAAATCTGATGAGGTTCAACAAGGACAAGTGCAGAGTCCTGCACTTAGGACAGAAGAATCCCATGCACTGCTACAGTCTAGGGACCGAGTGGCTAAGAAGCAGTTCTGCAGAAAAGGACCTAGGGGTCACAGTGGACGAGAAGCTGGATATGAGTCGACAGTGTGCCCTTGTTGCCAAGAAGGTCAATGGCATTTGGGGCTGTATAAGTAGGGGCATTGCCAGCAGATTGATGGACGTGATCGTTCCCCTCTATTCGACATTGGTGAGGCCTCATCTGGAGCACTGTGTCCAGTTTTGGGCCCCACACTACAAGAAGGATGTGGAAAAATTGGAAAGAGTCCAGCGGAGAGCAACAAAAATGATTAGGGGCCTGGAGCACGTGATTTATGGAGGTGAGGCTGAGGGAACTGGGGTTGTTTAGTCTGCAGAAGAGAAGAATGAGGGGGGATTTGATAGCTGCTTTCAACTACCTGAAGGGGGGTTCCAAAGGGGATGGATCTAGACTGTTCTCAGTGGTACCAGATGACAGAACAAGGAGCAATGGTCTCAAGTTGCAGTGAGGGGGTTTAGATTGGATATTAGGAAAAACTTTTTCCCTAGGAGGGTGGTGAAGCACTGGAATGGGTTCCCTAGGGAGGTGGTGGAATCTCCAGCCTTAGAGGTTTTTAAGGCCCAGCTTGACAAAGCCCTGGCTGGGATGATTTAGTTGGGGTTGGTCCTGCTTTGAGCAGGGGGTTGGACTAGATACCTCCTGAGGTCCCTTCCAGCCCTGAGATTCTAGGGTTCAGGACAGACGACGAGCAGAGAGGAGCTGAGACGGGTTCCCAGCACACTGCCTGGTTCGCTGCTCAGACCCAGGGCAAGGGCCCAGCAGGGCAGGCCCAGCAGGGCAGTCCCTGCCCTCCAGGCAGGCTGTCAGCAATGGAGGCTGTAGCTTAGCCAGCTAACACGGTAATAATGGAGATATCCCCATCTCCTAGAACTGAAAGGTCATAGAGTCCAGCCCCCTGCCTTCACTAGCAAGACCAAGTACTGATTTTGCCCCAGATCCCAAAGTGGCCCCCTCAAGGATTGAACTCACAACCCTGGGTTTAGCAGGCCAATGCTCAAACCACTGAGCTATCCCTCCCGCCAATGGTACATCTCACATCCTGCCATGCTGGGGGCCGGCAGTGATCTGGGGCAGGACCCTTCGCCTTCTGGGGTCCTGAGGAAGGGGGAGAGGCAGTAGAGACCAATGTTAGCCAGCAGTCCTGTCTGCACGAGCCCCCCAGCCCTGGTTTACTTCGCCACGTCCAGCAGCAATTCTCTGGCCAGAAGGGTGAGGGGCTGCATCTGAAGCCCAGGAACATGATTTCCCAGCCATCCCAATCACCCCCAGGCCTTGAGCAGCTCCCAGAGGGACAGGATGAAAGCTCGGCCCACTGCGTAGAGCCCAGTGCCCACCAACAGCCTGCCAGCGACGTACACTAACCCCATCGACCGAGTCAAACGCCAAGCTCCTGGAAAGGCGCCCACGAACCGCACAGCGCAGTCAAACAGGATGGTCATGCACAGAGCGGGCCAGACAACACACTCCAGACAGGAAGTGCAGAGCACTCTGTCCCCAGCTGTGCTCTGGTTTTGGCCCTGGACTCAGAGGCTTAGCACCAGTTTGGATTTCAGAAGTTGGGCTAGACAGATCTGACCAAGAGGTGAACCACACAAACTGGAGCTGCCCCAAGCAGGATAGAGGCTAACAGGTAGAGAACAGGAGACTTTTGCAGCCGCTCTAGAGGCAGAGGAAAGCCCAAGAAGTGGAGAGGGAGAACTGCTTTTTCCAAGGGGGGAAAAAAGGCTTGGCCCAAAAGATAGAAGAATCGGATGAAAAAAAGCTTCATGTCCAGAATCTCTCATGCCCCTGAGCTTCCAGCCCTCCTGCCCGGGAAGGCGCCCAAGGATCTCACAGGGAGCCCCAGCCCTGGTAAAGCACCGGAGGCCAGAATGGCCGATAAACCCATGGAGCAGACCTGGCAGGTGGCAGCTTCCCTACACCCACCAGCAGGCGACTCCAGTTCCAGGCCTGCAGCTCCGGCTCCAGCGTCGCTCGGCCAGAAGGCTGGGGAGCATCAGCCTGAGGCCAGCCAAAGGGGTGGGTGGGGGAGGGAGACTAGGACGCTAAGCGACGCCCTGTGACTGAAGAGCAGCACTGATGGGGCTGAGGCACAGACGTTCTTCTTCCCAGAGTTCTTTGCGGCCTAGTCTTGCTGCCACCATATTTACAGCCTTTCGCCCTGGAGTCCAAAGCACAGGCTGGGAGAGACCCTAGGGCTTTACCTTTTCCAGCAACACCCCTCCACGCTCCTTCAGGATGGCGTTGATCATGACAGCAGCGGCTCGAGAGCAGTTCTGATCGGGATCTGCCAGCCCTTCAAACATCATGAGCAGAAGGCTCATCAGCTGGTCTGGTGGGAGGCGCTTCCCAATCACCTAGCAAAGGAGAAGGGAGGAAGAGGTTAGATTTAACACGCTGGGGATTCTACACCTTTACCCCAATGCACTTAAACAAAAGTCACTGAAATGCAGCCACATCTGGGGCGAGACCCAGCAACACTCACAGCAGTGCTGCACAACTCACAGCTGGCAGACAGAACCGTACGCCTGGCGACTGTACAAGGAATTTGGCCAGAATACAGTCGCTCACACGCCATAAAAAGGCTCAAGACCCTGGTTTGATACCTCCTCAGCTGAAAGACAGCAGCCCTGGTTCCCTACTGACAGAGGAAAAAGACCCCACAGGAACACCTGGGTGTGCCATGGATTATGGCTGTCCGGCTGAGACAACAGGCTCACAGCTCCAGGCCTCTACCCCGGGTTCTCAGTGTGCTTTAAAAATCAAGACTGGCCCAACATCAGTGTGATCTGTGGGGCGAGTGCCACCCGCTCTTCTCCTCCTTTTCTCAATCTTACACCGTAGAACTTCGTTCCTCAGCCAAGGAGCTGACATTCTAGCTTAGACGAGCTCAGAGACAGCCAGCCAGAGGTGCAGTCTCAGAGCAGCGCCTGGCAAGGAGGAGGGACTGCACTGGGCAGCATGGACACTACCTCTACTCTGGAGTTAGCCGCTCGGTGACTAAGCCAAGGATTCGGTGTCCAGAGCTTTCATTCCATTAGAATGGGTCCCTTTACAAAGGGAAATGGAGGCAAGACTGGGGATTTAGAACGGTCCACTCCACACTCAAATGCGGCACCAAGAACCGGACGTAGGCTATGGGGCTGGTGAGGGGGTGTGGAAGCCGTGCCACTGGGAGAGATGGGGCCCAGCGGCATCAGTGTGGGGTAAATGTGAGGGACATGTCCAAGCAGAAGGGCCTTGCAGATGCAGCAGCACAGGAGACAGCAAACAGAGCTGTCAACAGAGCTGTCAACAGGGGAGTTTGCAAGGGGAGTTTGCGGGGAGGGGAGACCAAGAGGCAGGCAGAGGAACAGAAGAGAGCGTGTGGCGTTCTGGCTGTGTTGTGGTGCTCGCTGGGGGTTTGTTTTGCTGTTGAGGTTTGGTTTGCGTTTCCCAGACTAACAGGATTTAGGTGGGAAGGCTAGGACAGATACAGAGGCAGCAGTGGTAGTGACCCAAGCAGTGGAAGACACAATGAAATGACTGGATGTGGAAGCTGTGGCATGTACGTGATCCTGGAGGGGGTACCCGAAAAGAGTTTCGTCTGCATGAAGTGCCGCCTGCTAGAGCTGATGGAAGAAGAGATCCGAGGACTGGAGATGCAGGTGGAAACTCTGGTTGAGTTTAGAAGGGGGTTCGAGCAGATGATGGAGCAAAGACATGAGGAGGCTGAAGAGAAAAGCTCAGACTTGCAGATGGAAGCAGGACCAAAGAACTCTGAGGGGAGACTGCTGGGTGAGGAAAGTGGACAGTGGAAGCATGTGACTAAGAGAACCAGGCAGAGGAAAAGACGGGCCAGTGAAGGAGAAATAGAGCTCAGGAACAGGTTTGCAGAGCTGGAAAAGGAAGAAGGGGCACAGCAGGTGGTCGCTGAAGGCGAGAGGACAAGGAAGAAGAGAAGAGCAGCGAGTCCTATAGGAAGAGGGGAAGAGTCAATGGGGATAACAACACCAAATATGAGCTCCAGGAGGATACGGGATGGGCTGTGGAGGATTGCAAGGGAGAATAGGAATCGAGAGGACTTGCAGCCAGAGGGAACGGGAGACACCGGAGAATTGCACCATCACCAGGAAAAGGCAGGTCTACGTGACTGGGGATTCCTTACTGAGAAGAACAGACAGGCCTGTTACCAGAGCTGATCCGGAGAACAGACGGGTGTGCTGTCTGCCGGGTGCTAAGATACAGGATGTGGACCTGAGACTGAAGAGGATCCTAACGGGAGCAGGAAAGAATCCACTGATTGTCCTTCATGTGGGAATGAATGATACGGCTAGATTCTCGCTGGAACGTATCAAGGGAGACTATGCCAGGCTGGGGAAGACCCTTAAGGAAATCGAGGCTCAGGTGATCTTCAGTGGGATTCTGCCTGTTCCTAGAGAAGGGCAACAAAGGTGTGACAAGATTATGCCAATCAACAGATGGCTCAGGCATTGGTGCTATAGGGAGGGCTTTGGGATGTATGGCCACTGGGAGGCATTCATGGACAGTTCTTTAGGGATGGACTTCACCTGAGTAGGGAAGAAAATAGACTTCTAGGATGGAGGCTGGCACAACTGATTAAGAGAGCTTTAAACTAGGAATTTGGAGAAGATGGTTTGGGAGATGTCCAGGTAATCTCCACGCTGGATTTTAAGATTGAGAAGGAAGAAAATGAAGTAAGAAAGGATACAGCCATGGGTAGGAGAATAGACATAAGGAGGAAAGGTAGTGTAGATACCAGTCTAATAGGTGATACTGGTGGTAGAATGTCTGGGCCTAATCAGGTAAAGAATGTGAGAGAAGCCAAACAGCAAAAATTAAGATGTTTGTACACCAATGTGAGGAGTCTAGGTAACAAAATGGAGGAACTAGAGTTACTGGTGCAGGAAGTGAAACCAGCTATTATAGGGATAACAGAAACATGGTGGAATAGTAGCCATGACTGGAGTACAGGTATTGAAGGCTATGTGCTGTTTAGGAAAGACAGAAATAAAGGCAAAGGTGGTGGAGTAGCATTGTATATCAATGATGAGGTAGACTGTAAATAAATAAGAAGGGATGGAATGGATAAGACCGAGTCGGTCTGGGCAAAAATCACATTGGAGAAGAAAGCTACTAGAGTCTCCCCTGGGATAGTGCTTGGGCTGTGCTACGGACCACCGGGATCCGATTTGGATATGGATGGAGACCTCTTTAATGAAGTAAAAACTAATGGGAATTGTGTGATTATGGGAGACTAACTTCCCAGATATAGACTGGAGGACAAGTGCTAGTAATAATAGGGCTCAGATTTTCCTGGATGTGATAGCTGATGGATTCCTTCACCAAGTAGTTGCTGAACCAACAAGAGGGGGGTTTTGATTTCAAAAGGGTTAACTTTAAAGAATTAAAGGAAATTAGTTAGGGAAGTGGATTGGACTGAAGAACTTGTGGATCTAAAGGCGGAGGAGGCCTGGATTTACTTCAAGTCAAAGTTGCAGAAACTATCAGATGCCTGCATCCCAAGAAAGGGGAAAAAATTCATAGGCAGGAATTGTAGACCAAACTGGATGAGCAAACCATCTCAGAGAGGTGATTTAGAAAAAGCAGAAAACCTACAAGGAGTGGAAGATGGGAGGGATTAGCAAGGAAAGCTACCTTATTGAGGTCAGAACATGTAGGGATAAAGTGAGAAAGGCCAAAAGCCATGTAGAGTTGGACCTTGCAAAGGGAATTAAAACCAACAGTAAAAGGTTCTACAGCCATAGAAATAAAGAAAAAGAAAGAAGAAGTGGAACCACTAAACACTGAGGATGCAGTGGAGGTTAAGGATAATCTAGGCATGGCCCAATATCTAAACAAATCATCAGCCTCATTAAAGACTGAGGCAAAGTAGGAGCTTAGGGGTAATGGCAGGATGACAAAAGGGAATGAGGATATGGAGGTAGGCATTACCACATCCGAGGTAGAAGCCAAACTCGAACAGTTTAATGGGACTAAATTGGGGGGGCCCAGATAATCTTCATCCAAGATCATTAAAGGAACTGGCACATGAAATTGCAAGCCCATTAGCAAGAATTTTTAATGAATCTAAACTCAGAGGTTGTACCGTACGACTGGAGAATTGCTAACATAATTCCTATTTTTAAGAACGGGGGAAAAAAGTGATCCGAGTAACTACAGGCCTGTTAGTTTGACATCTGTAGTATGCAAGGTCTTGGAAAAAAATTTTGAATGAGAAAGTAGTTAAAGACATTGAGGTCAATGGTAATTGGGACAAAATACAACCTGGTTTTACAAAAGGTAGATCGTGCCAAACCAACCCGATCTTCTTTGAGACGGTAACAGATTTTTTTAGACAAATGAAACGCAGTGGATCTAATTTACCTCGATTTCAGTAAGGCATTTGATACTGTTCCACATGGGGAATTAGCTAAATTGGAAAAGATGGGGATCAATATGAAAACTGAAAGGTGGATAAGGAACTGGTTAAAGGGGAGACTACGACGGGTCATACTGAAAGGTGAACTGTCAGGCTGGAGGGAGGTTACTAGTGGAGTTCCTCAGGGATCAGTTTTGGGACCAATCTTTTTATTACTGACCTTGGCACAAAAAGTGGGAATGTGCTAATAAAATTTGCAGATGACACAAAGCTGGGAGGTATTGCCAATACAGAGAACGACTGGGATATCATACAGGAAGATCTGGATGACCTTGTAAATTGGAGTAATAGTAATAGGATGAAATTTAATAGTGAAAAGTGCAAGGTCATGCATTTAGGGGTTAACAAGAAGAATTTTTGTTATAAGCTGGGGACGCATCAGTTGGAAGTAAAGGAGAAGGACCTCGGAGTATTGGTTGATCACAGGATGACTATGAGCCACCAATGTGATATGGCCATGAAAAAAGCTAATGTGGTCTTGGGATGCACCAGGCGAGGTATTTCCAGCAGAGCTAAGGAGGTGTTAGTACCATTATACAAGGCACTTGTCATAAATATAAACGGAAGGGTAACAACCTTTATGTATGCGGGAATATAAAATCCCTTTTGGCCAGAGGTACAGAATCACTTACCTGTAAGGGGTTAATCAGTTCAATTAACCTAGTTGGCACCTGACCAGAAGGACCAATGGGGAAAGAAGAAGATACTTTCAAATCTGGGGGTGGGGAGAAAAGTTTTGTTTGTGCTCTTGTGTGTGTGTTCCCTCTTGAGACAAAAAGAGGGACCAAGCAGGTAATCCAGCTCCTACTGAAATGATACATCTAAAATTACAGAAATTGTAAGTAATAGGAAGGAAATGCATTAGATTATCTTTTGTTTTAGCTTGTTAATTTTCCCTATGCCAAGAGGGAGGTTTATTCCTGTTTTGTAACTTTAAAGTTGAGCCCAGAGGGGAATCCTGTGTTTTAAATCTTATTATCCTGTAAAGTTACCTTCCATCCTGATTTTACAGAGGTGCTTCTTTTACTTTTTTTTAAATAATGAAGTTTTTCTTTTAAG